CTAGGAGTTTAGATGAAATTCATCAAATGAGAAGATCACGTTCTCCAACTAGACACCATGATGCCTCCCGAAGCCCAGTTGACCGCAGACCCAGAGATATGGATAATCAGTATTTATCAGATCAAGAAGGGTATGTTTTTTATCTTTATATTTCTCTTAAAAGTACCAGTGCAGCTTTGAAAATTTCTAAAATAGATGAAAAAGTCCTCATATCTATAACAACCACAACAAATACCAAGTAAGTATTCAAATCTTAAGACGTCATCGAGCAATCTGTTTACCCTCCTCTTTGTGGACTGTTTCCAGCTTACTGTATTTACAGCCAGTGTTTTTCCTGTCAATATTTCAAACGTTTTTATGCTGTCTTTGGGTACTTGAGGGATTGCCACAGCTAAGAGGGGTTGACTTATTCTCTGAAGCTCCTGAGGGTTGGACAAGAAGCAACAAGTGGAAACTCATTAATGAGAGGTCCAATTTGGAATTGAGGAGAAATTTCCTGACAGAGAGAACAATTAACTAATGGAACAGCTTGCACCCTAAACCTAACCCTGAACTGAACAGTGCTTTGTAAGAAATGTGTTAAGAGCTCTCTGAACAGATCTGATGCTCTGATTGTACATTAGCAGGAAGATGGCTGATGGATTTTACAAAAACTGCATTTTCTGGATAATCAGCAGTCATTTTGATAAACTGGGGGAGGACAGATGAAAAAATAAGGGAATGCCTCTCCATAGCAATCTCAGCTTTATGGCTTGTATGTGTACATCAGTAATTTTTTATTAGAATTTGAGGACTAAATGTGGTATGTGGTGGTACATTTGCAAATCTCACAACTATTATATCAAGGACACATCATATCTCCTCCTTTAATGGTTACCTGGGGACAAGATTGGAAGAGTAACATTTATGTATAATTTTCGGTGTGGAATTTATGGAACAGCACTATTCTTTATTCTTTGCACTACTTTGGTTTACAAGTAAAATATTAAATTTCATAGTTTTACTACTAAGATTATTATAATGCTATTGGATAGAATGTCAGCTGGCAGTGAATTATATGTTAGCACTTTTTTGTCAATCTCATTATTCAATTTATGTTGCGATAA